AGTAGATCCTTGGCTGTAATTGCAGTTACTCAGCTGGAGATGTTGATTCAATACTTGACCAGCTTAGCAGAAGTAACTTGCAGTTTACCTGTGTGTCAGTAACGTGCCAAATGTGGAGCTTGCAGCTGCTTTGGCCTTCAGCACACAGCTTTTGTAAAGGACTGTCGCCATCACAAAGGATCCGTCCTAGCTAGTAGCATCCTTCCTGTTCAAAACCAATTAATTCCTGTGGGTGCTAAACCACGAGTCAAATTCTGGCTTCAGTTCCCCGTTTTACACTGACTCATTGGGCCACGTTGACATAACCTGCCTTGTTTCCTTCGGTGTGACATACTTGTAGTTGACTTCTGCTATGGATAGCGCAGGCTTGAGGCGATAAGGTGAATTCAGAACCTCAGTGTCATTTAGGTGTTTTAACCTGTTTTATTCTTTGCCTAGACTATTGCATACAGCATTCTGTGGGACCTGAAGTTCTTGATGAGGTATGCCTGCTTCTTAGCTTTTTGTCAAACCACAATGAAAACTGTTGTCTGTTACTGCCGCTTGCTGACAGGGGACGCTCTCTTTGTACGTAGCATTTGCTTGAAAGACTATGAATGGTGCATTTACATTAGAGAAGAAATGGCAGCTCTTAAAATCGGTAGAATCTGTGTTAAGCCAGCCCCTCAGTATTGTAGAAGGGAAAGACTAGTCCTGACCCACTAGGGTCTAAGTGCTTCTGCTCTCCTTGTTCCTCCTTGCAGAGAGCTCACAAACAACTGTCGAGACTGGATCAGTGAGCTGCTATTATTTTGGAAATGGCTAAAATAACTCTGTGCATGACCAAAGCCATTTTCTGAGAAAGCTAAAGCATGTAGGTACTAGGCTGGTTTTGGGGGTTTTAAGTCTAACCTTCTCTAGGTGGAAGGCAGGGCTCTTAAACATGAGCTTTCTTGTCAAATCCTGAGTGATGGCTGGCTGTCACCTTTTCACCCCTCTCCGAGAGGAGGGCAGGGGACAGCACAAGAACTGTACTCTGGGCTTACTACAACCCTGTAAATGTGTAACTTTTTAGCAGTACTGCTGTTCTATTTTCTCAAAGCAACCCTTGAACTACTTTGGCATATATGGCTAAACCTGAGGTACAGAGTAACTTCCACACAACCAAATTGATGCTGTAACAAATGCCAAGGAACTGTGCCTGAGCTGCAGGTGCTGGACTTCCCTGGCAGACTGTACGTGTCTGCACAGGCTTGTGCACGTTGTCGTTGTGTACAATGCTGCTGTTTCAGCTGGGAAGTCTAGTGTAGACACACCACAAGATGCTGAGCAGGTCGCTCCTCACTAGCCTCTTACCCACTTGAAATTGTCAGTTAAGACTTTAAATCTACAGATCGGTGCAAACTGTAGTAAACTGCCTTTTTTTCTTTTCTTCTCCCCATTTCTGTCTTTCTGCAGGAATCTTGCCCTTGGGGGAGGCTTGCTGCTGCTTCTGGCCGAGTCGCGCTCGGAGGGGAAGAGCATGTTTGCTGGTGTCCCCACCATGCGGGAGAGCTCTCCGAAGCAGTACATGCAGCTGGGGGGCCGTGTGCTGCTGGTCCTCATGTTCATGACCCTGCTGCATTTTGATATGAACTTCTTTTCTGTAAGTATCTGAGTATAAAAGTAGGAGTTAAGGAACTAGAATATAGTACAGCTCCCAGATTGGCTGCAGGACCTGCTCAATGCTTATCATATAAGTCTGGTTTTAGTAGAATTAATATTTAGAAAAAGTTATTAGATCATGTATGCCATGACAACCTGTTCTGATGTTTGTGTACCTACTTAAGAACCCTATGTAAGCTTGTGGGGGTTTTTTATCTTGCAGATTCTGCAGAACATTGTGGGCACAGCCCTGATTATCTTGGTGGCAATAGGCTTTAAGACTAAGCTGGCTGCCTTGACTCTAGTCATCTGGCTGTTTGGCATCAACATCTACTTCAACGCCTTCTGGACCGTCCCAGCCTACAAGCCAATGCACGACTTCCTCAAATACGATTTCTTCCAGACCATGTCTGTAATTGGGGGGCTGCTCCTTGTGGTTGCACTGGGTCCTGGTGGAGTCTCCATGGATGAGAAGAAAAAAGAGTGGTAACAGGAATAGCAATACTTCTTGGGACATAACATATTAAGTCCAGAACTGATTCTCTATGGATTCAACAAAAACTGCCAGCATTTTACACGTACATGCCCCCTTCCTATTAAAGGCACAGATGTTTTGAATTTGATTTACAGTGGCACCAGTAATATATAGATAAAGTCCTGTTTCTTCAAGGAATGTTGCCTAGGCTTACTCTAACTTCCTAGATCTGGAACTAACCCAAGGAACCTGCATTTTGCTGATGCTTCAGTGAATTGCAGTAGAACAGTTGCTGTCTTTTAATGTCAGCGATGTTCTAAAATTTGAAGTACTGTGAGCAGATACAGCTGTATCATTCAGTGTGCTGTTGGGTTCTAGCTATAACTTAAAAAAAGTGGATCCCCTTTCCCTCCTTCATCAAAACTGTCTTGTGCATAAGGAGTTCCATTGCTGGTTATAGCATTGCTTATCAAGGTGGAAAGCAGCATCAAAAAAAAAATCACTGTTATCTTGCTGCTCAGAGGTCTGTAATTCCACTTCGTTTAACGACAGGGGAGGTCTTTCTTGCCCCCAAATAGAAGGCAAAAAGAAAACCCTGACAGTAGTTGTACCCACCTCTAGGTAAGAAAAGGGAGAGGGTTTTCTAACAGGTCCCAGTTCTGCTCTCGAGGGGAACAAGGGAGAATCCTGTATTACTAATTAGGAATCCTATGTGGCTAATCAGATTTCAAGAAGGAAGGGGAGGAGATCCCCTGAAGAGACAGAATGTTAGATTCTGTGAAAATTCTGTGCCAAAAGAACTCTTTATTCAGCATTCTTTCCCCAAAGTTGCCCCTCCTGAATTCCCAAGAAGGGAGCCAAGTTGTGCTGCAGGTTCCATAATAGAAGCTCCTTTCTGCCATTAACCAGCTTCCTCCCTTACATGCCCCAAATTTGTATCTGAATTGCAGGTTTTTGGTGAAAGTGTCTTCAGAACTACAGAAACTCCCCTTTTCCCCTGCACTCAGTACGTGCAAGTCAATCTTCTAATCTGTAGTCTTTGCTTCTTAGACTCACTTGTGTCAGTCTCTCGGCTGTAAAAGTCCCAGTTGACTGAACAGCAGAGAGCTGGGGTACTGAACTCTCGAGTACGGCCCCTTTTCTCTGCCATCTCGGCCCACCCCTGAGATGTGTGGGGAGGAAACATGGAAGTCAGCTGTGTGCTGCCATCGCCCTGGTCCTCAACTCCGTGTGCAGACGGTTATACCTGAAGAATGCAGGTGCAAAGCCTGTGTAGGGAAAAATAGGGAATAAGCAGACAGGGATGTCACTTGCCTGTTCACAGGGAGGAACTCCTCAGCATAAGGGTGAGGAGAGAGGAAGGCCCTGTTTTCACCTCTCGGTGCCACAACCTCTGTGCCATGAACATGCTTAGTGCTGCTCAGAGGAGGCATTTTTGTCCTCTGCTAGTCAACTAGGTGAACCTGTTTCACTAGATCATGAAAGAATTCTAGAAAGCATGAGCCCTACCAACTTGCTAACATTACATTGATTCCTTGCACTGTTGTCTCCCTTGAGAAAGCTGCTCAACTGTTTGAGGAGGAATTCAGCTGAACATCTCCAGCAGGAGCTGTTTGCCAGGGTCTCCTGGTAAGGACACTAACCTGGACAGTTCGGCTTAACTGTTGCATTTTAGGTGAGAAAACTGGGCTGAAAGAACTGATGACGAATAGAGGAGGAGCGCTGTTGAGTGTTAAAATGGTGATTTCTTCATCTTAGGGGGGGAAATAGCCTATGTAATAGCAAGATGTGCTGCTGCTGAAGGAAGTGAATTGGTAGATGGGAGCGGGAGCCCAGCATTTGAGTTCAGGTCACATAGAAGGGTTTCTTTTTAAATAGATTTTGCAAGAGAAGTTTTCACCTCCAGTGTTTGCTGTGCCTGTCTCTTAACAGCAAAAGAAACTGGTCCTTTCGGTTATGGATACGCAGCACAGGATGCTTTTGCTCAGTTTCACTGCAGGTCCTACAACGGTTTTAGACTACATCGAGGCAGCCATTCTCAGATATTTGAACTGCTGTTGATGTTCATAGTATTTATAAACAGAATGACAGAAACAACTCCTGTCAGTAGCCCTTAAGTCGGCTTTCTCAACTTCTCTGTGTCCTGTCCAAGGAGCTGGGTGAGGGACTAGTCTGAAGTGTATGGGCTAGTTTCCTCTGGAAGTCAAGTCCCCTTTCCGACAGAAGGCCCCAGAAAAGGAACTGATGCTGTCCCTTGCAGCAGAACATTTTGGTGCTGAAGGGGCACAGTTAGGTGGAGGGCATTACAAGGTATTCCTAGGCAGCGCAGTATGTGGACTTACTGAGTCCTGACGCAGAAGATTCTGGTTTCCTACGTACACTGCTGTATTTGTGCATCTCCCAAAAATACAGTGACCTCTCCCTGTGGCTGAGAAGCTCTCACAAGCAGGATGTCAGCTATCGATTGGCTCTGCAAAGTGTTCTGGAATTCATTCTGAATATATTTTTGCTTTCTATGTGGAAACAGAAATAAGTATAAATTCTCATTTTATGCTGTATTTTGTACCTTAGTTGTGTTTGAAAATGTTTTGATTTTTGGAAACAATCAAAATAAAACAATGGCATCTTTGTATCCACTCGGGGTGTGTGACTGGTACCACTCCCCAGCTAGGCTACTGGAAGAGCTGGTTCGTGCTCTTGTGTGCTGGGCTGCCTGTGCTTGCCTGCAGCAGTCCTGGTTCCTGAGGGGGTGGCTTGAGGCTGTTGGGATACAACTTCATTCCATCCCCCTCTTTCTCTCCTGAGCTGTAAGAGTTAACTGGAATGGGCAAACCCTGCAGCCAGCCTTACGCACCCTCTGCAATTATACAACAGGCTTCAGGTCATGTATTTACCATAAAATTTATTTGCCATTGGTGGCTTTCTTGAAGTTCTTGGGTTTTCGATGATGGCTCTTGAATTTCTTCTTTAAAGGGCCAGACTGTTTCTGTAGAGGAAAAAAAAAAGTTCATCAGCTTATTTCCAAACCCCAAATCCAGCCCTCCCTGGGTGGGGAGAGAAGCTGAGTGTGGTCTCGTTTACCAATAGAGACACAAGCAGCACAGCCCTGCTCACAGAGCCAGCCAGGATCTTTCCTTGCCCCATCCTGCCGGTTACCATCCCTCTTTCTCTGGCAGGCATGTGGTTTCACTGGATACAGTGACTGTCTCCTCATAGAAATGAACCTAAACTGCAGCCAGCTTTCACTTTCCAGTTTGACACGGTTATAAAGGATCCAGCCCCTTCCTCAGGTGCTGCCTTAGAGAGTGAAAAGTTTTATCTGGCTTTATGCAACATCTGCCTGCTCCCCAAGCTGAGAAGGATCAGGGTATGTCCTGCAAGGCAGGACCTGGCCAGCTCCTCAAAAGAGGCAGAAAAAGCATCTAGAAGGACCCTGTGACTTCAAAAGGCTTTAACTAGTGTTTGTGTGTATGGGGAGGAAGATCACAGAACGTCCAAGACACACTTCAGTCTCCCTGTTAAACAGGGCGCAGCAGGATCCCACCACAGACGAGATCCAGGCAGGAACCCCCCTGGGTACAGCAGACAGGGTGATCGTTGACTGGCAGTAATTCACACCTCGGGATGCCAGTCGGTGGCTGGCGCGTGGGGAAAGCCTGTTCTGAACAGCTCTGCACCTTCTGCTGCTTCGCTGCCAGCTCAAACACCTACAGGGTGAGATCCCGGTTCCGCGCTCCCCTGCTGCTGCACGCGGCAGCGCGACTCCCACCTTTCCCCTTTTGGGGCCAACCGCTCTGCTGGGACCCGTTCTGCCGCCGCCCTCTCCGGTCACGTCACCGTTCTGCTTGGCCCCGTCATCCTCGCTCTCTGTTGCAAAGTCGTCGCTGCCCTTGGTGGTTTGTGGAGCTGCTGGGCTTTTTTCTGGGAAGAGTGCGGCTAAAGGACAAAGATTTAGCTCAGGACCAGTTTCCCATGTGCACAGGCTCTGCCTCCCCCTAACTTTGAGGGCACCTTAAAGGCGATTTCCCAAGCTGCTCCCAGTCTCTGAGCATATACGTGTCGCTACCGAAATACCTGGGACATAAACGCCCTGGTGTTTTATTAGAAACGCGCCTGGGGCTCTCCCTAGCCCCGTTCTGGTTCGGCACAGGCGGTTCGGTGGTGTTGCACCTCTGCGCAGCGCCTCCGGGTGTCAGACAGCAGAACGGCCTGACCACCTTCTGTCAGACCCCAGGACTTGCTGAGAAACGAGGAAAGCAAGAGGCAACCTAAAGCAGCAAATCCCAGGGGATCTTGTCTCCCTCCCCTCACACTTTATGTGATCCAACTCTGGTTATTACTTGCTGATAACTGTGATTTCTTACTCGCTGGTGGTAAGCTTTTCCAAAACCCAAGAACCCCCAACTGGAGGGAAGTCACATGCCTCCAGCACGCGAGCCGCAGAGAGCAGTATGAAGAAGGAGGAATAAAATTACCCAACAAACTCCCATCAGGACACAGACGATACCGACGTTCTCACTCACGTGGGTACAGGTCACTCATGCTGTCGTCCGTCTCCTCTCCATCCTCATCGCTGGACTTTGGCTCCCAGAACTCCTCTCTCCCGCACGGCTGCCCGCTCCCGTTCCTTTGGTCACCGGGCTGCCGCGGCCGCTGCTGCTTCTGCCGCAAGCAGGCGGGGACGTACTGCACTCCTTCCCTCTGGCACTCCTCATCTGACAGGGCGAGGGGTGGGGCAGCACTTAGCAAGGCCGCCCAGTCCCCCCAGTCCTTTCCATTTACAGCTCCAGCCCCTATTAAATGCAACCCAAGCTCCCACCGCAGTATACGTTCATGTAACCTACAGCGATAGCACGGACCATGAAAGGTGGGAAAGGTGTTAACACAGAGACCGCTGGACGTGCGAACCGCCCTCTCTCGGGAGGTTTTACAACTGCTCCTCCCAAGTAGGGATGTTCCAAGGTATTTTCTAGAGGCCAACTGCCCCCTACCTCTGGGATCTTCCTTCCCAGCTAAGGAGCACACGCAGCAACAGCAGTACGCTACTGTCAAGAAAACCGAGCCCCTCTCTTCATGTTGATCTACTGGAATTTCAACAGCTCAAGGCAACAAGCTGTCTGGTTAGAGCTTCAGAAAAGCTACTTACATGTTTTTAGGGCTTTCTGATAGCGCTTCCCTTGGACATGGCGCAGCACGTGCTCTGGAAACTTGTTGATGTGTCTGAGAGTGAGCTTGCAAAACAGCTGGTGTCTGACAGACACAGAAAGAAAGAGCGAGCCAGCAACAGAGTTTAAGTATGCTATTACTTAATAACTTTTCACTTATAAGCACTGTGCTCAAAATAGATAAATTATAAAGACTTTCTCAGTCTCCCAAAACCCATAAACACTCAAGAACTTTGTAAAGCTTAACCACTTTGTGTCTGAGATTGAACAAAGTGTGAAGGATAACCCAGAAGAGGAAGAATACGTACAGATTCTTTGTGCTGGGCACTATATGGGGCTCAAACTTGCCGTAGTCGAACTCCCTGGCTGTCTTTATCAGCCGCTGGTATTTCTTGCCATTAGTATAAGCCTGCAGCTCCGGCAGCCGACACGGCATCTCGTGGCCTGTCAGCCTGCATCTCACCTAAAGAAAAAAGATGTCTGGTCAGGGAAGCCCGGGCGATTACCCCACAACTGGGGAGGGCAGGTGAGATCTCAAGCTCTCACCAGCGCCCTCCTCCCACTTCCACGGCGGGAGAAAAGCCCCCGGGCCAGGGAGCTCACTGGGGCCGAACCCATCTGCCGGAGTATCCCCCCGCCCCGGCCTGACCCCCCTTCACGGCCCCTCAGGGGACGCGACCCCGGCATCCCCTCACGAACCCCTCAGGGAGGCGC